TATATATAAATATATTTTTTTATTTTTTACATATTTAATTTTGAGTCTAAATATCTTATGCTTCAGGCAATTGGACATGTGTTTAGACCCGGATAAAACCATAATTGTTTTTCAACCGTATTCAGTAGCTTGTTTTGCAACTATCGGTATTATATGTATTAATATCTTCTCTATGTATTTGTTGGGGTTCTGTACAATGACGAACGTCCTAAAACAACTTAGCGTATACCATGCGCAAGCTGGTGCAACCTTTTTGGACGGATTCTAGCTGCCAGTTGTTTTGTGTGCTAATAAATTTTTAATAAGCTGCATAGTTTTTTTGGTTCACTATTTAATGAATAGTAGTAATTTTTAGTGGCCTGAATGAATAGTAAAGTGAGTGCTCACAAATTTCAGTAATTTGTATTTAGTTTTCGTATTTTCTAATTTTTTTATCAAAGCGTTTTTATTTAATAAAGATTTATTTTTTTGTATATAAAGTTTTTTATTGAACCAACCCACAGAATCCTTAAATATTTATGTTTGTACCTACATTTCTTACATTAGATTATTTTAGTAGTTAAATTGTAGTATTTATACCTACTCGAAAATGTATTAAGCCTGATTTGTCCAAATTTTTAATTGGCAATGCAATTTAACCAAACATTTAAAAAAATATATACACTACATCATAAAATAATATTGACACTCCTCTTTAATTTTCTGTCTTATATGTAACACTAATTCAAAATAGATGGAGTTAGTTAATGCAATCTTCTGCAGATCTTTAATTTCTTGACACATCCAAGGTGCAGCCAGATGAGGAAAGTTAATGGTTTTCATAGGGGCATGGATATTTAGGATACTGAGAAGATTAGATGTAAGAATATCAACCAGGGAATCCATGGAAGAGCAGGAATTCATTCCACTCCAGTTATTCAAGATCAGGTAGTATTTTTTCACGGGTGAGGTTCTCTAGATGTCGGAAAGTAAGGTTTCTCTAGGCTGAATTAGAGCAGTTTGGATATTTATAGCATATTTGGATCAGGTCTTGAGATGATAAAAAGGATATTGGCGATCGAGAGGTGAAGAAGAGATTCTGTGAGGAGTCGATAATGAAGAGAGAACTAACCAAGTGTCTGGCCTGCAGGTGTGGTGAGTGGGGAGAAAATGAACGATGAAGAGGTGAAGCGAGAAAAATAGGTTTTCCATGTTGGATTTATCATTGGTATCTGAGAGGGGATTGGTATTTAGGTCACCGAAAATAATTATTCTAGAGTAGAGGGGAACGAAGTTTAACATGGTTGATTCAAAAGGCGGATCAAAGGAACAAAAGAAGGACGGTATAAACGAGTGTTGGGGATACTCGAAATTTGGGGAGCAGTCAATTCAAGCGGAAAATTCAACATAATTATTGTGAAATTGACAAAAATAATATTTTAAATTTATTTGTGTTTATATTCATTTAGTCGTAACGGTTTTTATTTATTTTTTGTTTTATTTATTATATATACTTTAAAGTATCTTAAAAAAAATACAATTGAATACATGACGTATTTTTTAAAGTAAACACATGGAGGAGGAGAAACAGCCTTTATTACATTGGTACATTACTAGAACTTTTTCAACTAAAAATGAATGATTTAAAAAAAGTAAAAAATATTTTTGATTTCTTAATGTGTACAACCTCAAATAAAAATACAGTGTTTTTAACAGTCCGGCTAGTTTGCCGCGGAAAATGTGAATATAACGTGAAAATTGAGCGCTGATTGAATCATAAAATCCTAGGATATGTTAATATAGTAGGGCGTCCCGTAAGTAGAGGGAAATATTTTAAAAAAGCGATAGTAGACCTCTAGAGCTATCAAAAACTTCATATAAACTATGATCCGATTTTTTGCAGAATAGTAGGCGATGTTTTCTTAAGTGAGTCATGGTTTTTGATAAATAGGAAGCGATAACTGAAACATTAGTTAATATAATTAATTAAAATCGATTCACTGTAAACTAGGCAACATTTACTTCAAACTGAAGTTGATTTTGTCGTTGTTAAAATCATTTAAAGAGGACCTTTGGGCGGATAAACTAAGCTAAGTTCTGTTTTTAAAAAAATCATGAATTATTTGCGATTTTTTTTTTCATACTCCAACTACACAATAGACTCCCCACTTTTAGAAAACTTTCTTGTTTAGTAAGTTTTAAGACCATATTAATTAAATTGAGGATTTATTAATAAGTTGAGATTCACCTCAAGTTGTGTAAAAAAATTATGTTTTTTTAATATTTTGCCAACTTAAAGTACCCTCGTTTTCGGCAAAAATGAAATGCTAAAAATATTGCTGAGCTTTAATTTATTTTCCCTTTACCTAGGATGTATTTTATAAACATAAATTTGTAAATTCATTTTTTATTTATTATAATAAAATGTTAAATTAATGATGAATGGAATCGGGAAGGTCGTTGACATATGTGGAGAAAAGAGTTGGGGAGAGCAAAGTTTCCTGAGGAACACCACGGGTTAGTGAGAGAGGGAAGAAGGAGTTTTATTGGGAATAATGACCGTTTGAGATCTGTGATACAATAAAGAACGGAACCATTTTCAGACGCTACTTGATATGGAATGATTTTGGATTTGGAAAGGAGAATTTCATGATTAACGGATTCGAAGGCTTTTGAAAAGTTAAAGAGAATCAGGATGGAGAGTTTTTATTTTTCCATGGAGAAATGAAGGTGGTTAGGATAATGGAAAGAATTTAACGGAAAGTAATCAGAATATGGTGCAGAGAGATAGGAACCGATATAATATCCTAAAAAACATTGAGAATAATTAAAACTAAGGAAAAAACAAGTATAAATAAAAGAAAATGGAAAAAAAAGTTCTAAAAAAATAAGTAAATTAATGTGTGAGAGTTATAAGATGACCTTGTAAACAAAAACCTAAGAATTATTTGAGAACCAGGTGCAACCAAGAACACTTTAGAGAGGGTGAAGCAGTGACGAAATCTTATAATTCAGGCGAATCCGTCTAGGTTGGAGGCTTGGTCAATTACGATTGCTTGATGCCGTTCTTCATTTCGGTATTGCAAACCAGTAGAGGCGCCTGTTGGTGGAAGTCATTTTCCCGCTCAGAAAAATTCGGTGGCGGTATTTTTCCTGCCAACCGATATCACGCGTCGAGAAGTCCCTCTTGACTTTTCTTTTCGCGTTCAGATCATCCCTCACTGAATGCTTGACGAAGTGTGCGATAACAGGCGGCGGTAGGGGGGCATCTTTCCAGCTTCTACGGCGCTGCACCACATCCAGGTCTTCTACAGAAAGCGTGATGCCCAAACCTGTCTGTACTGGTCAATAGGACCGCAGGCGTCTTGCCTGCTCGCACTGTTATTCTGCGGGTCTCCAGTGATCTGCTTAATATATCCTGTTCAATTTTGTTCAAATGGACCTCTAGTTCGCCCAATAGACTTTTGATGGCTTTATTTTTCAATATAAGTTCTTCATAGTGTTTCGCTTGGCCCTCTAGATGTGTTTATTTCTTATTTAGCCTCTCACTGAGTTCAAAATTGAGGTCTCCATATTTATCGAGTGCTGCTTTTATATTTTTTAACACTGTTCATTTAAGTGGCTATCAGAGCGATTTACTGCCCCTAGTATTTCTGATTCTGACGGCTAAGTGCTTAAATTTGTTTCATAAAATGTAGATTTTTTTACCTGTCACAGGTTGGACGGAGCCTTGCGTTTTTAATAAATTTGTGGGCTTCGATTTCTTTATATGGTAAATTAAAACATTCACCGTTAAATATAACTTTGCATTTGGTGGAACAGAGATTATATTTATCATCACGGGTACCAGCAGTATTGCAAACAGTTCCCTGAACCATTTTGAATAAAAATAATTAAATATTACTTATAGTTAACTTAAATAAGGAAGTAGTTTATTGTGACGCAAAAGCAAAAACAGCGTCTATTGGTATTAGGATTAATGTAGACAGTCCCACAGCTCGACGAAATTCAAGAACCTCACTGTATCCGTCTCTGGCTAGACTGATGTATATATATATATATATATATATATATATATATATATATATATATATATATTTGTTATGTATTATATATAGCATAAAATCAATATTTTAAATAAAATAAAAACAAAAATGTTTTTTTGTTTTTTTAAATTTATTAAACGCCTCTGCCGTTGGCTATTAGGCAATTCGGCTTCTGGCAGCCCAATAAAACTCCGCCATGAATCCTTTGTTTACATTTGTTCCGATCCCATCAGAAGTACTGCGGACATCTGACAGAGCGGGGCAAACTGGGAGGTGCAAGTCGTACATCTCGTCCTGTTGGCAACGAGGGCAACAGGACTTTCCACCACTCCAATCCTATATAAATGCCTTTGCAGGTAATCGTGGCCTGTTGCCATGCTGAAATTTGCCACCTGATATATATATATACATTAGATAATGTATATAGTTCCATTAGTTTGTTTTAGTCAGTTCCTTATTTAAAAAAAGGAATATTTTCTGTCTGTGTATGCATACTCATGATCTTGTTTATACATATGTTTACTTATGAACCTATATATATATTTTTCATACAATACATTCCTGTTGTAAATGATTTGCATGCTCTTAAAGTGCTCAATTTATAAGTTACATATAAGTGAGTCCGAGCCAGAATAAATTCATTTTTATATTTCTAAGAGAGAGAGAGAGAGAGAGTGAGAGGAGAGAGAGAGAGTGAGAGAGCACTCAAATGTTCTTCATAATTGTTTTCTTTTTAAAACTGAAATTGTAATATTCATATTTAATAGAAGCGAATTCGTTTGGCATAAATAATCCTAGATTTGAGGGAAAGAAAAGCCATAAATTGGTTTATTTTACAATTTACCCCTTAAAAAATTGGTCCCTGGAAGCGGTGAAAGGGCTGGAGGGGGGAAGGTTGCGTGCAAGTAACTGAGCGATAAAGGTAGAGGGCTGAGGTAGAACAGGGTTGCACGGTATCGACTCGGCTCAGTCGAGATGTGGCCTGTTGTTGGAGTAGCCCTCCTAGTGGTGGCCGCCAGCCCTGCACGGCCCAGCTCCAAGACCAACAGCGTCCAGGTCGGAAGGTTGGGAGCGTTACGGGGGCAGGAAATGACTCTTGCAAGGACTCAGCGAGCCACCGCCTTCCTTGGTACCTCCTATTCCATGGCTACAGCTCCTAGGAGTGACAGTGGATCTCACATCCTTTTTTTATTCTTTATTATCATTGCCTAATTAAGTGATTCAACATTGACTTGATATAATTGTTGAAGCACCACAAGCTATTAGACCTAAACATGTTTATTCTTAGCGGATTGTTTCATGGCTAAAACCATCTTCAATGGTTTAAAGTATCAAGCTTAGTGGTCCTTTACATAGAGACTTATCGAATCCACTGATCCTCTATTGAGCTCCTGCTATGGAAACTTTTGATATAGTAGATTTTGACTATATTCTTAAAAATATTTTCTTTCAATAATTGAATATTAAATTTTGAGTGAAGTTCTATGTAGTGGGTAAATACTATAATATGATTAGGATATTTATAGATTTTTTCAATTTATAAGCGTTTATTCTTCCCTCAACTAATGTTTAGTAGTCAACGTTTCGCCAATTGAAGCTTCTTTAAGGCTCATATTTAATTAAATTTATCAAAGTAATTCAGGCAGTCGTATTGATGGAAGAAAGCATTGAACAAATAATTTATCACCGTCCAAGTCCATAGAAACGGTATCGTCTAATGCTGAGATAAAACATTTTTAAAAAATCCAGGCTTTAACTCTCCCCAATGTTGGAGTTGTTATTTAATGACATAAATGAATCATGATTTTTTTCCTCTGAAGATGCCATAAGTCTCTTTATTTGGAATCTATAATGTACCTAATTAAGAAATTACAATTAGATAACTATATCTATTATAACATTTGGACAATTCTATTTGAAATTTATAATGCCCGGACACAGCTAAGATTTCTCAGTTAACTAGATTCTAAGTTGATGAACGTTATTGTACTTTAGTGGATTATGAAAAATTAGGATACAAGGATGTACAGTATAAAGTTAATATCTAATATGTGATATGATTTTATGACCCTCGCATTCACTTCAATTTAATTATAATTACCTAAGTAGGTAAGGTAACTTATACAATGAATTTTACATCAGCATCAAACTTAATATATCTGCAATAAGTATAGAATGACTTTTCTCGATTCTTTACTTATTGTTTTGTTAAGGGAAAAATGTTATAGTATCGCAGAAGTTTAAATGCTATTATTGTATAATTGAACTTTACACGTAGCTAAGAAATAAGCGCCTATAGTCAAAAATACATCTTGCGAAAAAATGCAATAAAACCCATAATTTTTGTTAATGTGAAACCCAGAACAGACGAGGAAGCTCATACGGACCCGTTCAAATCCCTAAAGCGAAAAAAGTAGCAGAAATTTGAAATGCTTGCTAAAACTTCAGAATCTCAACTTCAAATTTTGTTAAGCGATAAACCGCGATCTTGAAGGACTTTTGCGAAAATGATTGTATTATTTAAGAAAAATGTTGCCTCAAACTGCTTTTCAAATTACATATTATATTTTAGTTGCAAATACGAGTATTAATTTCTTAAATACGGTGTTTTTATTTTAAAAGTTTCATAACATTCATATTAAGTTATTAAAAGGAAAGTACTTGATAATACGTACATAACAAAACGCTAAAGTTACATTATTTCGTTGATTTCATGGCCACACATAGAAGAATGCCGAGTTCGGTAGTGGGAAATTGCGACAGAGGATGTTTAAGTGTAGGGTGTTATAGTAAGATATGTTTTAAATTTTTACTTTTCAACTAATTATCTGGACAATACTTTGGCTCGATCCACTGTATGATAGGACCAGCTTCACAGAACTTTTGACAAGGCGTAACAGACTGAAATTTCGATGTCTTTCAGTATTGATAGACGAGAATAAAAGTATTTATATATCCTTACTGCTATGTGGCTGAAGGCTTCGATAGACTAAATTTTATTGAATGTTAAAGAGTGAACAGAGATCAGATGGTCAGTCTTTAGTAACAATGATTATTTGAATTTTTTTTATTTTTATTTTATTGAGTAATATAACATTCTGTCACATGGACAATGATTACAGTGAGAAAATAGTTCATTCACTCCATATTTACAGAAATCATAAATGGATAAAATAAAACAATAATCAAAATGTAAATCATTCCCGAAGAAGACTTTTGTCATCAATTAGGATTTTACTGTTTTCAAATGTTTTATTTATTTTTTAAAAGTATTTTATTGATTAATATGACATTCTATAACAATATAGACAATGGTTCAAGTGAGAAAAGAGTTCATTCAAACCATATTTACAGAAATCACAAATAAAGAAAAATAAAATAACTTGAAGATATTAATTAATTTAAAGATTATCTTGGAGTGCAAATCCCTTCTCAACGATCTAACATTCCGAGGCACCAATGTGGTCTTACAGTGGATTCCGAGCCATTGCGGCATTCCTGGAAATGAGGAAGCGGATAATCTTGCCAGGAGGGGAGCTGAATTGCCACAAACAGTCCATCCAAAATCGTACGATTCATTTCGGCGAATGGTGAGGACGGTAGTGAAGGAGAAAACAAAAAATATGCACAAAGACAAGGTGGAAGGGAGATGTTAAGGATGTTTGGTGGAAAACCCGATCCCAGGTGACCTAACAAGAAGAGATGCAGTAGCCTGCTTCCGCCTGGCCACTGGTCAAGACTATCTACAATGTCATCTACACAAGATAGGCGTGGCTGAGGATCCTAGATGTAAATTATGTGAACAAGCGGAAATGGATGCAGGCTACGTAAACAAATGTCCTGCTTTGGCGGATATTAGGAATAAAACATATGTAAATGATTATATAAAAAAATCAAACTTATACTAGGCAGCAAGATGTCGGATGGTCGAATGACCAATGACTATGGCATAGGAAAAAAAAAAAAAGATTAATTAATTAACTATTTTTATTTTATATTTGTTTATTGAAATATATTACATTTTGTCAAAAGGAAGGACATTAGTAATATAGTTGGCATTAGTGATATAGGAGTTTCATTCACACAAAACGTACTCTGTAATCTGAGGGGAGTTGGTAGAGAGATAAAGGTTTCTTCATCATTCCCTTAATTCTCTTTACTCTCACTACTACTTCTATTTAATTGCTAGGAATTGGTATTATTGTTTTATTAATAATATACTTATAAAATATAGGTAAATGGAATTTCTTGCTTCATATTACAATATTTTCTAAATATTTAAAGGTAGTCTAAAAAATAAAAAATTATTTCGAATTTTCAGTCATTTTTGCGATATATATGTCCACCCCACTTGAACGATAGTGTAGATAGAGGATCAAGTACGTAAATGAGGTAACGAGAATGTTTTAATTTACAATAAAGTTATTGTTTTATAAATATCTATGGATCACTAAATAAATATTCAGCGCGGAGGAAATACTTATTCTCACTTCTCAGGTTTTATAAAAAGTATCAGTTCTGGAAAACAAGAAAATTGTAGAAAATTATAATACATGCGATGGGGTAGGCAGAAGGATAACATAGCATAGGCTAAACAGAGTTCGAGATATGCAGAAACATTAAAACGCGAATTTTAGAGTATTAATGGGACTGGCAGAGATCCTGTTTTAATCTATTATATATTCGCCCAAAGGAAAAAAAGAAATAATATTGAAATAAAGATTTTTGACAAACTTTGTTAAACTTATTTATTTATTGAGTAATACTATATTCTGTCAAATGGACAATGATTATAATGAGGTAAGATTACATTAACACTATTTGTATATACAGAAAATATAGAAGCAAATAGAATAAAAATAGAAGCAAAATAACAACTAAACAATAAAAAAAAGTTATTAAAAAGATATAAAATAAAAATAAAATAAGTTGTTAAAATAAGTAAATTTAAATAAAAAAAACCACAGACATACATATAAATACTATTTAAAATCATACCAGGAAACTCCAGTCCAGATTTGTTGCAGCAACTATAGAGGGAAAATCAGGACTCCAGAAGATCCCTGCGCTACTCTCTCAACAGCGTCACTAGTGCTAAAGCCAGTGTAGATTGAGTGAGAGCGATCTCCACACTCCACATATACTCATGTATTGGGTGGAGAATCTGGCCATTGCCAGAACTCCGAGATATATATACTAAAAAAGGTCGCGGGGCGGCTGCCGTTATAACCTTCATGGAGAATTACAGATAATAGATAGGGATTGTGAATAGAGTTTTGAATGATATGTAACGTTTTGGTGAAATTTGGAGAATTTTTCTGCGATAAGGTCTAGTAGAAAGGGTATTAACGTTAACAACACTTATGAGTTCAGTTTAACAAATTAAGGTCATGGTATAGTAAGGTAGTTATCACATGCTTTGACAAAAAATTTGGGAAAAAATGAAATTATAAAGAAGCTTAATGGAAAAACTATGGATATCCATAGAATAAAAATAAACGTTAACGAAAAATTGATAAATATAAATATTGTAACTTTCTCGTCTCCATTACCACCAGAAACTTTTAAAATAGGTTATTAGAACATTAAAGTCCAAATGTACACTCCTGATCCGATTAGATGTTTTAGGTGTCTCATTTTTTTCCCGTCATACAATAAAATGCACAAACCCCAAAATTACGTGTTCTCAGCGTGCTGATGAAAAAATAATTCTAATGAAAATCGCACTAAAAACCCTAAATGTACCAACTGGGGTGAAAAACACTACCGTTTGGATCGCTAATACCCAATTTACCAGATGAATACAAAATTTGGAATAGTCAATATCACAGTCCGCTCCTCTAAATACCATAACATTTCTTATATCCGATCTAGATTCTATGAGAACATGGTCTATTAAATTTCTGGTCAGGCCAATTCTCTTTGTGTATTGGTTTGTGTGGGAATTTCGCACAGCTGATGACCAGTTCCTTTTTTATTGCAAAGTTAATTAATTCGGTGTCCGTTCGTTAGAGTAGCCATGTTTGCTTTCTTTGCCTAATGGTAGGTCTAAATGCGTCTTATTTATTGCATATTACATATCTTGGCATTTAGATCGCCTATGATTATTTTCGCACATTCTTCGGGATTCTATCATATTCTGTTTCTATTGTGTCATAGAAAATATCT